TGAATAAACATCTATTCGGCCTATTTGTTTATCCTGATCCTTATTTACCGCGATACACACACACACACACACACACACACACACACACACACACACACACACACGAGACTGCATGAAAATATCACCATTTCTACTTTTTTTCCCCTGAAACAAGAAGCGTCACTGTCCAGGCCTGTGTGTATGCCTGGCACAAGCAAGAACCACAACATAGGGACTAGTATCTGTCACACCTGCAGATCAGGCTCCTACTCTTCAGGACACCACAACCCCTCTCCACCCTGTCCACTTCATGAAGCCACCCCACTGGCCCCAGGCTCCCTAGCCCTATCTTTCAATCCTTCATCACCTGCCCCTCTATTCTCACCCGCTGATTGGCTCACAGTGATTCCCACTGGAAATGACACACCTTCTTATCCTACAATCCCCCATGGCCTTGACACATGTGGACAATCCCCACCCAATGAACCAAACGAGCCGTGTTTCGTCATCATTACAAAGCTGAAGATCCTGAGGCTAGGACAGGAGTCTGCTCACTGACTCTAAGGTGGGGGCCTTCAGATCCTGGGTCAGTTGAGTTGTGTCCCCTCAAGTATACTGACGTCCAAACCCCAGCATCTTTATTTGCGAAGAGACTCTCTGTACGTGTGCAGACAGGATCAAGATACGGTTCTAGGGTGACTCTCAGCCCTCTCTGAGGCTGGCGACCGTATGAAGACACTGCACAAACAGGGGGGAACCAAATAATCACAGGATAAGAGACTAGAATGGGGCAGGTGGAGGTCAAGGGCCACCAGCAGTGGCAGGGGACACTCTGATGCTCAATTGGTAGGGAGCCGAGCTCTTTCCAGGCCTTCAATGGCCAGGACAGGTGGACACCTGTGTGTGGACCTCTGGCCTCAGAGCTGAAGGACAAGAAATTCTAGTTTTAACTGGCTTTCTGCCCATTTAAAGACCTGTTTAAACATGGCATTAATAAAATGTTTTGTATATCTGAGAAAATGAGGGATTCCCTGAGGCTGATTCTAGAGGGCCCACTGCCCCCCTTCTGGGGGCTCCACTCCTCTGTTTGCAGAGGAGGTGGCTGTGTCCCTATGCTATCCATTTCTTCACCCATTGGACTGCAGTTGGTCCCCGTGACAGGCACACTCTACAGGAGGGACTCTCAGATTTGGAGCAAGTTCTTAGGTTAAGTATTTTAAGCTACAATATCAGTATTGTGTTTGGAATTTTCCAGTGGCACACATCTTTTTATGATCTAAGACTGGCCACAGAGCTAAGGACCTGGGAGGGAACCCTGCTCACTGAGTGTACTCCAGGCCTCTGTCATGATGGATACTGGAAGTCCTACTGTGGTGTGGGTACTGGGGTGGGACTGCAGGCAAGGGAGACAGAGCTTCTAAGGCCCCCAGAAGGATCCTAGGATCAAGGAAAATTGACTAATACCAGCCAGACACTAGCCATGTTAGAGACAATGCAAGATAGAAGCATGGCTGAGTTCTCATACATGCTTGATCCAAAGTGCATGGGAAGGTGTCACCCTGTCACAAACCCCGTGGGCACGAGTGCCAGCTTGGCACACAGCAGAACCCTTCCCTGCAACATCATATTTCCCGCATTGCACTGGCTTCCCCTAGAGTAGATATACACACCTGTCCCAGGTTATTTCTCAGAACTCAGTCTCAGAAGTTCCTAAGTGTCACCAATACAACATGCTCTCGATCTAGAAAGTCGCCGTGGTGGCCCAGGATTGAAAGGAAAGTGAAGCAGATCTGGGCTCCTGAGGGAAAGGATGGGTGGTAGCCATCTTTGAGTGCAAGAATCTGGGCTCAATGCTAGAGACCTGTGACCGACCCTCCCTCTCTCTCTAGTCCTGGAGTCTTGGTAGCCCTGACCTTCTGGTCGTCTCTGGCTACAGAGAAACGGATGACCCATGCATCCACAATCTCCAAAGCTTCCAGGACCCAGGGATTGTGAGGGACTGTGTGGAATATTCCCAAGGTGGCAGTAAGGGTGGCTAAGTGTCCCAGACCCTCTATCGTAAATTTTGAGACTGAGCCTCTCCTGTGCTCTCTCACAGCCTCTTCCAGAGCATGAAGGGCACACCCCTGAATGGGGGGGGGGCATGTCCACACTGCAGAGCTGATGGGTATCATCTCAACACTTATTTTTTGCAGCCCCAAACCCTTCCAAAGGCTCACATGCTGTGAAACATGTAAGATGCTGCTGATAGGAATCGTACTTAGCATTGGACAGACGTGGAGGCCGGAAGCCCAGGTCTGGAGTGGGTGGAGCACAGTCCTGACCCCACCCATTCCTTCAGCCTCCATTCTCCACGGGGAGAATGGGTTTCTTTCCCTGGGCATATATGCCATTTCTGTGCTGACGAACACACAGTGGCTCCCGCTGCTCTCTGACTCAGTCAGCACCTTCCACAACCTGGCCCTGACGTCTTGCTCTCACATCCCCTCCGCCTCCTATCCTCTAGCTCTCCGAAGGGCTCTGAATATGTCCCAGGCCTCACTACCTCCATGCTTTCTTGAGAAGTTTCATTCCCAGGGCTGTTTGTGACCATCTGCCTATCGTCCTACTATGTCTACAGCCTCCTTCTCAAAGTCCTGGGGTTGGCATACACATTTGACATCGTGCGTTCACTCTCTGCTCCTCTGAGTGTCTTTTTCATGACGACACAGCTCATCTCACCCCCATCCAGTCCCCTAACAGGAGCTTGTTGAAGGCCTACGGTGTGCCAACTCAGTGCTGGGCCCAGCATTTGATCAATTTCTCTCCCTGGGTCCTGGTCTGTCCAATGCCCTGTGAGCAAACAGAGAAAGGTCCCTCAGCACTCCTGTCCCACTACGTGACAGGGTCCATGATACAAGGTGACAAAGAAGTAAACGGAGTGCCAACATTTCTCTGCAGGTGCTGTGCTCACTGCCAGACAAGACGGGGGTGGGGTGGGTAAGCAGGGACACACACACACACACACACACACACACACCAGGTGTACAGAGACTGAGTGCTGCTCCCTCCCTCACACTGCTAGGTCCTTCAGATTAAAAAAAAAAAGAAGTAGCAATTCTCATCTTATGGGGACATAGCTCCATCAGGGAGTAATTCTGAGAACAAGCAAGGCTGTGCTGTGCAGAAGGCCAGCACCTCCAGAGGGAGGGGACAGATGAGCCATCTTGGAATGTGTCCCTAGAGTGAAGCCACACAGGGAAACACCAGTGTCTCTGCGGAGCCTAGGGACTTGTTCAAAACCAGCTCCCTTCCTCACGAACTGCATGCCCTTGGGTAAATTATCCCTAACATCCTAACATCCGGCATGCTGACCTATAGAACTCCAGGCTAATAGGACTTGCAAGAATTCACACACAGTAGGTCCGCAACAAGCCTTAGTGTGTCTTCCATTGGTGTGCCTACTCATATTTCTGTTCCTTTTAGCCAGCATGGTGCTGAGCATGTACTCAGTGCCATCTTTTGGCAGGAACAAACTGGCCAAGTGAAATGTGAACTTATGCAACAAAAATTAAAGCAAAACCCCACAAAAAAACAAAAACAAAAACATTCAAAAACCAAGACCCCTGGAGGCTCTGCCAACAGATGCAGGGAAGCCCTGTTTGTTTTATCACGTCACCATAGCAACTGTGGATGCTCTAGCCAGCCCTGGGGTTAGTTAGTAATGATCAATTAATCTTGTAACCATGGAAACACCAGCTTGTGTGGGATGCAGAGAGGAAGGCACCCACAGACATCTTGTGAGTCCCTCCTCACTTCAGTTATAGCCCAGCTACACACACTTCCATCTGCAACGGGAGCGACTGTTTCCACATGACGGCATTTACGTACGCGTAGACTAAGAGATGGGTCATCAGCAAAGAAGGACAGGTTGTGGGAATTGTTAGGGTTATGGCTCCCCTGCTTCAGACTTTGCCCAACCCTGGGTTCCGAGTCTCCAGAGCCAACCTGGGGACTTTGTGTCCTTTGATGCTCCCATTTGGGAACAACCCTCCCTCTATATCCAGTCTGGCTTTTGAAGTTACATTTTAAACAGACTTCCACCACAAGGGTGAAGTTTGGAGAAAGGAAAGTGTCCCTTCAAATGTCACTCCTGAAGATAAGCAGCAGGGATTGGGGCCCTGGACACACACCCAGGAGACAATAGGGTTGGCTTCCCTGTCACCCTGCTCTGAACACAACCACAGAAGGTGAAATGTCTGTCTTGTGGGTTGGGACTTATGTCCAGCCAAATGTATTCACTGGTCACCTCTGGGTCTTCTCAAGGGACACACACACCCTCAGAAAAGGGCGTGTGTCTTTGTTCTAGTTCAAAACAATCAACACCTAAGATCACAACTCCAAGGCATTCTCCTGCCTCAGAGACCAGGCAGCGCGCCGGGAGGTCAATTGTATGTCTGCCATGAAGAGCCTGTTGTGTGCAGGGAAGGGTGGTGGGCTCCTGCTCAAATCCAGCACAAAACAAAAAATGGATCAAACCATCCATCTCTGTCACAAAGCCCCGTCACTGCTTTCTTGAGAGATCGGGGCTAAAGTCCCCACCCGCAGTGGAAGGAGAGGGGTGGCCCCGAGGACACCAACAAGTGACAGAGTGCCAGCGTCAAGCAAAACCAGAGTGGGAAGGGTAGCTCCTCTCTAGTTTCTCCTCTGCCAGTCCTGGGGCTCCAGCACACACAGTGTGTGGGGGTTGGGCTGGGAGGGGCAAACTCCAGTTGCCCAGGTTCCTCAGAGCTGTCTTGCTCGGAAGTGGGGTGCTCAACGGAGGCAGCTCCGCTCCACCTTCGGTGTGCGAGGGCCACGGGCCACTCCACCCAGGACAGTCAGGCCGGCCCCGGCAGGCCGGGTACGCGCACCAGGTGGGACTGCCAGGCTCGGGACAAAGGACCTGGCCAGGGATGCTAGAGCTGCACCGAGGAGCACAGCGAGGCTGGGGTTCTGCAAACTTGGCGACCCAGGGACCATGGGGGGAGAGTCCGGGTTACCTGCGCGGCCATAAAAGACAGATCCATGGTGTCGCTGCTGGCGTGGCTGCTGCTGCTGTTGCTGCCCGCGCTCCAGTCCTCGCTGCTGTTGCTGCTGTCGTCGCTGTCGCCGCTGCGGGTCCAGCCACCCGCACAGCTATCAGAGAGCGGGCGGAACAGCGAGCCCTCAGGCCCCGGCGACCGTGACCTCAGCAGCCTCGGCGTGGCGGCGCTTTTGCAGCCCTCACGGCGTCCTTGCTGACTCCGGGCTACAGCTCCAGACGTCGAGTGGGAGGGAGACCCCGGGCGCGGCGCCCCTTCACGTGACCACTCCCAGCCCCACCCCCGGGGGCGGGCCGAGCAGGACCCCTGATTTCTAGCCATCTTCTCTCTGTCTTGGCCAAATGGGGAAACTGAGGCCTGCGGTGGGGCAGCTGGGTTGGTGAGCCAACCTCCAACCCAAATCCAGCGTGGTGGGCGCCCTTCCCAGGGCACCTGACTCCAGCCTTCCTGGGGTTGGCTGGGGTGACCCGGAGTAGATATACCTGGCTTTCAGTGGCAGCCCTGTGTCCAGACTCCTGAGCGCTTGCCTCTTGAACTAGGCAGAACAAAGCTGAAAGTCTAGCTTTTCTGTATTGTGTGGCTTGGGTAAATCAGTGTTTGTTTGAGCTTGGGTATCCTCATTTGTAAAACGGGAGCAACAGAACCTAGGAGTTCTGTTACTGGCACGAGGAGAAACTAGAGAGGAGCTACCCTTCCCACTCTGGTTTTGCTTGACGCCGGCACTCTGTCACTTGTTGGTGACAGGCATGTGTCACCACAGGGTGACTGAAGCATGAGCATTTCCCCTTACTGGAGATCATTGAATGAATGTCCTTCCGGATGACACACACGACCTGTAGACAGTGTGACACTGTTAAGATGTCTTACCTCAGAAAGGCAGCCAAACTAGGCAGGTGTCATAGCAGCAATGCAGGGGGCACAGAGATGCCCAGTGGGTTCTCTGGGATGTATGTCCGCCCTCCATCCCTCCATCCTCTTCCTCTCCTCCCCCCTTCTTTCTCCCCCTTCCCACCTCCCTTCTGGTTTGTTTCCTCTCTTGCTTCATGGGTCACTTCCACGCCCTTCCAGCCTGTACTGGCTGGTTTTGTGTGTCAACTTGGCACAGACTAGAGCCATCAGAGAGGAAGGAGCCTCGGTTGTGGAAATGCCTCCATGAGATCCAGCTATAGGGCATTTTCTCAATTAGAGATCAATTTGGGAGGGTCCAGCCCACTGTGGGTGGGGCCATCCCTGTGCTGCTGGTCCTGGGTTCTATAAGAAAGCAGGCTGAGTAAACCATGGGGAGCAAGTCAGTAAGCAGCTCCCCTCCATGGCCTCTGCATCAGCTCCTGCCTCTGCGATCCTGCCCTGTGTGAGCTCCAGTCCTGACTTTCTTCAGTGATGAACAGCCATGCTGAAGTGTAATTACAGCCACATTAACCCTTTCCTCCCCCACTTGCTTTTTGGTCCTGGTGTTTCACCACAATAGAAATCCTAGCTAAGACTCGGTCCAAGTACTTTCCTCCAGTCTCAATGCCCAGAACTACACAACTGGGTGCCATCCCTCTATGGCATCGTTTCTCAATCTTCCTAATGCCGCCGCATTAATACATTTAATACAGTTCCCCTGTCATGGTGACCCCCCCCACCGCCCCAATCATGAAATTGTTTTCATTGCTACTTCATTACTGTAATTTTGCTACTGTCACGAATCACGTTGTAAATATCTTATATTCAGGACATCTGATATGTGACCCCTGTGAAGGGGTCTCTATCCAGAGGTTGGCAACCACTGCTGTGTGCCTGGCAGTTCCTCAGCCTATCCAGAACCTTCACATTCATTGTTTCTCTGCCCTTTCATCATGGAGTCTTATCCCTGCAGAGTTGTGTGTGTGTGTGTGTGTGTGTGTGTGTGTGTGTGTGTGTGTACATGCATGCACGTGCACATGTGTGTGAGAGGTACAATTTAAAAGTAAAAACCCCCCTGCAGTCTAACAAAAGCCTAGGTGGAGCCAGAGAGATGGCCTGTCCATTAAAGACTCAAGCTGACAATTCAAAAGAGGAAGCAATGTACTTTAAACCCCGAGGGGCTTCTCTCCAAAGCTCTTTCTTGCCTGCCCCGCTGCCCTGCCCTCCCGTAATAGAAAAGTTCACCTCACTGTTCACACAACCCCACCCTTACCTGCTCTAACCTGTATGGGGACATAGACTCTCTCTGAAGTGTGTTCTCCCTGACCTCTCTGTATCAGTGAGCACCATGTTTGTGTTGACGGTGATGGATACCACCATCCGTCTGCTGGTATTGACATGTTACCTTCGTTTTCTCCTAAAGTGAACTATGCTACCATGACTGCTTTCGCCCTCCCCAGAAATCTGTTCTCCGTGTCTCTAATCCTATCATTTCAGGAAAGTTCTACAAACGGAAACATAGCTAGTTACCCTCTGGGGTCAGCGTCAAACAGCCTGGTTATCAGGAGATTCATCCAGGTTGCCCTGGTAGTAACAGTTGTTCCTTTTTTATTGCTGGGTAGTATTTTATTTTATTGCTGTACTACAGTGGGTTTAACTACATGTCTGCCAGAGAGTGTCTGTGGTGTTTCTGTTTTTTGGTGCTTATGAGAACAGCCACTATGCACATGCATGTCTGAGGGTCATATGAACACGTCCTTCACCTATTCCCACAGCGGTGGTCCTGGAACAATGGTGCTTCTACAGGATGTCCCATAGATCATGGCCTTCAGTGGCTTCTCATCCTGCAGGCCTGACTTCTCCTGATCACATTCTGGACGAGGAGAGGGGCTGGGTAGAGGCAAGCCAGTTGTTTTCATTTTTGTTTTGCAAACCCACTGCTCCCTGAGTACCCTGTGTCCTTGGACAAGGCTCATCTGCCCTCCTTGTCACTGGGCTGTGGGCTATTCGCCTTTGAAAGAAGAGGCAGGGGTGGCCAGTCAACGTGGAGTTCATTTCCGGTGTTCATCACGTCTCAGTGGAAAGCACTGTTCATCACACAGTAAAGCAGGAAAAGGATAACTTCCTGTGACACTCGAGGACTGCACTGTAGGAAAATCCTCAGGTGTAGTTCTGGTCACCCACACTGACCACGTTTACACATTCAGGTTGGCACCAACACACCAACAGAATTTTTTCTCCTTTACATGCGAGGTGTATCAATAGTCCCTTTTTATGGCTCAACATGACTTGGCAAGCTGCTGTTGGTTCAAACTTCAGGAGTTTGACCCCCCCTTCCCGTAGTTTATTTTAGGCATATTTAAATATAGTACAGTTTGATGAAAACTTTCCTGGTGATAATTAACTCAATCCCGTGTGCACAATAAAGCATACAGAGAACTCCTTGAGGAACAAAGTAAGCTAAATAAAGCTCAGGCATGACTACATCAAAACTCTTTGTAAAGTACATGTAATACTTTCCTTAAAGATGGGTTCTATAGATTGAAAACAATAAACAACCCAGTGGGAGGATCCAGTATAGTCTCCCTCTACAAAGATAGCACAATTAGCCATGTTTGCTCCCAGCCTTCTGGGTGGATAACAGATTACACATCCCTTCCTGTAAAGGACAACACCATGCTTGACCGTTCAGCTTCCCCTAGCTCCCATCTGTGAGCACAAGGCGCTCTCTACCTCCTACAGTGTCTTTGCTGAGTCTCCAGAAATAGTTTTGGGGGAGAATTATGCAGGAACTGGACATCAGCTTCAGCTTCCTCTCCCCTCAGCCCATGTCTGGTTGAGGGCTGGCTACCAGGGACCTTCATTCTCTACCAGGAGAATATCAACTGGTGTGCCTCCTTCAGGGACATAGTCTTCGTGGTTCCTTCTGCTATGGACCTTTCTCTAAGTGGTCCATGTTGTATTTCAAAAGCCACCTTTTTCATGGCAGGAGAGACAGCCCTGTAGTTAAGAGTGCACACTGCTCTTACAGAGGACCCAGGCTCCATTCCCAGCACCTGCTCACAACCTTTTGTGACTCCAGCTCCAGGGAATCCAGTGCTTTCTTCTAGCCTTCTTACACACCTGCACTCACATGCAATTCCCCCACCCACACACTCTGACATACATACATACATACATACACACATACTAAACAACATTTACACATAAAAAAACAAAATCTTTTTTAAAATCTACCTACTTCTAATTGGAGGCCCTCTAGGACCCTACTAGCTTGTGTCTGTCTATCTTACCAGTTTATTTTGTTTGTCCTGTAGCATTTCTCTGTCTTTGGGACAGACTTACCTGTTGGAAGAGGTGACATGCCATGGGTCCTGAGCGTTCCTGAGTTTTCCTAGGGGCTGGCCAGAACACAAGGCCCTGGTGAGTTCTCTCCTGGGCTGTTTAGCAGAGTTGTGCTTCAGTGTAAAATCTAGACAGAGTGAGGCCATCTTCCTTTCTGGACATGAGATGCTCTTTTTTTTTTTTTTTTTTTTTTTTTTTACCCCTGAACAAATCCTTGAGGCTCTACATTGCTCTTCTGTAACACAACCTATCATGTCTAATCCTGTGACACGGGCCTGGTGTCACTTCTGCCTCTGGGACTTGCAGACATGGGGGGGATGAGACTCCCAGAGAAGAGGGCATTGGCTGGTGTCCCGGAAGCTACTGGCAGCCTCTAGCTTGTTCCCGGGGATCAGGTGAGGTTTGATCACTCCAGGCTGAGGCTAACGACAGTTCAGTGCCTCCCCTTGCCACTCAGAGCTGATGAGGGCAAGAAGCCATAGTCCTACCACAAGTCCCGGGTCCTGGCCACTTGGCCTGGGGCTGAGCTGGTTCCAGGGACAGTCAGGGTGTGCTTATGCCAAGCTGAGCCCTGCTTGCATAATTCATGTGTGCCGAGAACTCAGGATGCAGAGACTAGGAACAATGTGTCCCTTCAAAGGCGCTAGCCAGAGACCACAGCAGGGGCCTGACCTGACCACTGACTGACAGGGGACTGCAGAGCCCTCCAGTGGAGGCGTGGCTGGGTTTTTGGAAAGCTCCTGAAGGGCTTTAAGAATTCATGAATGCTCCACTGAGTGACTTGATAAATTATCCAAGAAGCATGAAGAGTGGGGTGGATGGGGGGCATGACCCAGGACTCATCCTTGCAACAGACAAGAGAATAAAACCTACAAGGGTAAAAGCAAGGAGGACACCCAGGCTGGCCCCAGCACTCCCCCCCCCTCTCTCCAAGACACCATTGTTTAAAATCCTCACTGCAGGTCTCTCCATATTATTGTAAAAGAGACTCTGAGGTCCCTAGAATGAGGGCCAGGAGGGGACCTCGTTAAAACACCTAGTGCTCTGGAACCAGACTCAGCAATCTGGTGATTCTCAAGGCTACCTTTCTCAGGCAAACCTTGCAGCCCAGGCTAGCTCATTTTAGCAGGAGCTACCATGCTTGTATCATACATCAGTGCACACAAACCTCAGGAAACAGACCGAGCAGTCAGCCTTGCTGAGGTCCCTCAGCACAC